ACTGACTTGTGAAAGGTAACTCCTTAGGAAGAGCCCACGTAATGGATGTTGTATGCTACGGCACATTTCCACCAGATCTTTGAGAATATCCTTGGCAGGAGCCTCCTTTGATTTAATGTACACTGAACCCACTGTACAAAGGAGATACCTAAGGAAGAAAAAGCAGGTATGAAAACCTGAATATGCAGACGTGCAAATGATATAAGAACAGAATTAGCATAAGATTAAAATAGGCAACCAGTGCCTTGTATACTTTTTTCTTGATAACTGTGGTGTTTGGGCAGCTTGCTCCCATCTTGACTAATTCCATGGGATACTTGCTACCTCCCACCCACGATAGGTACCGGAGTTTGTCCACCGAGGCTAGAAATAAATCACCTAGTGTTTTTGTCTTTGCTGGGATTTGAACCTGAGACCTCATGGTTCTCAATCCACTTCATTGACCACTAGGCCACACCCTTGGGTGCTAGTGACTTGCATACTAGTAACACCAATCTGAGTGCATTTCATTTCTCTTAACTCAAGATCACAGGAATAATGAAATCAAGTGTCCTTATAACAGTATTAGCATTTCGTTTTATTCAAGGTACGTAACCGAAAAGTAAAGGAACAAAGGTATCAAGTGTCCTTATAAGCATTCCACCATTTTGTATCATCATCTTGAATGCAATCAGTCCTATTATACTAGTAATGAAATAGGTTCCCTACTTTTTGGTATATTACGTGGAACAAGGTTTCACTCCCCCAGGATATCAACAAAATGTTACTTTATCAAGAAAAGAAAATGTATAACGCAAATTTGGGACAGTATCTCAGCGTCCCTGGACAGGAAACTTGAGGTCTTCAGCTATACTCATGACAACCTCCTGTTCCAGTTGCCATCTACAAGTACTGCAAAGCAAGCATAATACCTACAAATCCCTCCCAGTTTGAAAAGCAATCACCAATTCACAAAAGATTTGCTAAGTTTACTTTGTAAAAAGATACTGGCCTATTGCTAATTACCATATGGCTTGCTTTCCTAAAAATTCACATATCTATAATGGATGTTTTCCAGTTAGAAATACTCTAAATGCAACGTCAAGCAGATTCTCAGTTCCCGAACTGCTAGGGCTGAAACTTGCAGTCAACTTTAGTGCTAAACAAAACATAGAGACTGATGTCAGTGAACAGTTTAAGAGAAAACAACCAAAAGGTCAAAAAGCACTTTAGTGTTACGGGTCAAATGGACCAGAATACAATCATGCGATTGGTAGTACTTGACCAACGTCTCTTGCTTCCAAGTTGTGGTGAAGTAATTAATCGACCAGGTCCTCCTCATGGTGAACACCTTATGAGGTTTAGTCAAATGCAGTTACTTCTTTGCTTAATGTGGAAGTGTTGTTTGTGGACTTTGGTTTTCCAGCTAGTCTAATAATACTCTGAGTTGTAAGGACTGAAACATCCAACTGGTAGCCTCTTCCTTGACCAATGTAGGTTGAAACCCATTTTGGTTCTAAATCTATGGTGTTAACAGATTAAATATTTATATTAAGACTGCAAGTTTAAGCAAATTATTCTTAGTAAAATAAGATTCCATTGATGACCAAACAGCAGTATGGAATATTTAAAATAGGATTAAAAAGAAAAATTATATGTTTGAATCTGTCCTTGTGAAGACTATGTAGTGTCTCACAAAGCTTCAGCCTAATTTGCATACTCCACTTCATACCAATTGGAAAACAAAATTAGACAGTTAGATTTTACATTCCAAACTGGATTAGAAGTCCCTACAAAACATCTTGAGTTCCTTCCCTTCCATAATTAAGCTTTCAGAAATAGGAGTAACATAGGAACATACAAGTGAATCGCCATAACAACTTACAATCTGGGCAAAATGTTGCCAGCGTGCTGCACGAGCTCATACAACTCAACAATGGAGCAGCCACGATTTGTCTCCTCCCTGAAGAAGATCTCTAATTTCCTCAATTCATCAAATGCGCGCATATCTAACAAATCAAAGAGCACAATTCCAATACTGAAGTCAAAGGATCTTCGAGTTCCCATTTATACAGTAAGAGCAGATCAGATCAGTGAAAATCACTTACATAGCTCATAGTATTTGTGAGGAGAAAGCTTGGAAGTTCGGAGCTCTGAGAGCATCTGAGCTGAGTATTTCAATGCATCTTTCAGATTGTTCGAGTCCTGAAAACTCAAAATTAGGGGTTTTGAACACCAAAAATATCAATTTACCATGTAAAATTAAATTAGAGGCTTTGAGGATATACAAGAGCGCGATGCATGTAAAATGCGTTCTGCTGAAGGCCGGCGATCCCAGCGGCAAGCCACTTCTCTTCGTCTTCGACTCCATTAGTTATCATATTTGGATCGTTCCTGGCAAATTTGGGAGATTTGGAGTTTGGTTTTTGCAGCAACTGCTAGTGAGGGTCCTTCTCTATATTGGAGTGGTCGTGCAATTCCAAGTTTGATTGTAAACTCTGTTAAACGTTAAGACCGATTTCTAATTTTTCCTTCTTCCGGTCAGGGGTCAAATTTACTTTTCTTTATATATATTATTACTCACTCCCTCTCACATTAGATGGCTTTCTATTTTACACGAGGTAATTAAGAAATAATTAATAAATTAATTAATTTTATTATTTTACCCTTTTATCATATAAATTAGTCTCTTGAAAAAAATTTGTAATATACATTTAAGTAATTAGATTATATACTAGTGAGATTATTGTAAGCTACCCTTAAATAAAAAATTTTGGCCCATGGACCGACCTCGGCCCGGCCCCGATCAAGCCTTAAGGGCTTATATGGATCGGGTTTATAGGCCCTAGTTTTAAATGGGATTAAAAAAATTCTATCACAACCCCACCCCAATAATGGGTTTGATTAGGCCGCCCAATGGGCTAAGCCCGTTTTGCTGCTCTATTAATAATTATGGTAGAATTTTGACTAGTTATGATAAGTGTCAATATATAGATCCTTTTCATTGATACAAAATACAAATGCACATGTTTTCATTGATACATCATTAATACAAATCAAGTATATATTTACAAATGTTAAACTTGATATGATTGTATTCGCTGATACTAGCTACTATTTATTCTTTATATAAATTGTATTCCGTTAATGCATATAGATACTAATTACATGTATACAATTATTCATTAGATATACAAATGCAATTATTGATACATATACATACTAGTTATGTATATATAATTATCTAATAGATATATAAGTACAATTCGTCTTTCTCTTCTCTCTCACCTCTCTTTTCCCTCTCTTAAGCTCGCTCACCTCTCTCCCCTGATCTAACATGTAGCTACAATTCGTAATTAACCAAACTATAACTATTTTGCTTGATTATATTTCTAGTCTTAGCTATTTTTGAAATTTCCTCCTTATTTCATTGGAGTAATTATTAGTTTTTTTCTTAAATATGGAGAAGGATCGATACAGTTCAGAAATAAAAGAAGATAGAAACACACACTACTTGAAACAAATACTTTTATCATTGCAAATAAGTGAAAACTTATATTTTAAAACATAATTTTTTCATTTATTTTTCATCGAACGAGTTCACTTGAAAAATATAGGATGGATATAGATTCTTAATTAAAATAGTAGGAAATTTCCTAATTTTCCATATAAAAATATGAGTGTTATTTTTTTTTTCATCAATTCAATCAAAATATATACTTGTCATTTTAAAACACAATTTTTTCATTTATTTTTCATCGAATGAGTTCAGTTGAAAAAGTGGATATAGATTCTTAATGAAAATAGTAGGAAATTTCAATTTTTTTCATATAAAAATATTAGTGTTATTTTTTTTTCATCAATTCAATCAAAATATATACTTGTCATTTTAAAACACAATTTTTTCATTTATTTTTCATCGAATGAGTTCAGTTGAAAAAGTGGATATAGATTCTTAATGAAAATAGTAGGAAATTTCAATTTTTTTCATATAAAAATATTAGTGTTATTTTTTTTTTCATCAATTCAATCAAAATATATATGTAGGAGTAGCTACTGGACATTTTTCAGTGAGGAATTCCTTTATTTTAATGCTATAGTATTTTTTAAGAAATAACCTAATTAAAATCAAAGTAGGATAAACTATTACAACTACTTCCTAAAATAAAAATTATTAAAATTTGCAAAACAGAAAATATTATATTAGATTGTCCTAGCAGTGTTTCCTCCGTAGCATTTGTATGTTCGATTGAATGTGAATATTTAGAAATTAAAGAAACTTTGACATATAAGTCAACTATATATTGAAACTACGAAAATGAGTGACTGGCGAAATTGTCAAACGTCTACTCATTTTTTTAATGACGATGGTCAGGACTCAGAGATGCAAACAAAATACGTCTTCTCATAAGGTATATGCCATTGGATATAATTAATACGTAAAGAATATAATGTCCAATAAGATAGAATAGAAAAATAAGTTGTAAATTCATCACTTTTAATTTGCACATGTTGAATGTATTTTCTTCCCTTCGTCTTATGAAATTTTAAACACTTAAAAATATGTACACTCCTAATTTATGCAAACCCCAATCCCTCTAGTTATAATCTTTTGTTCTATAAATGTTTTTCTTCAGTATTGTGAATTAATAAAGCATAATATCACTTACTTCCTCATTTTTATTCGTACATCATTAAGAAAGCTATGATTTAAGTCTCATTTCGTAATTAAATTTCAAATAGGTAATGAAACTAGAAGGAAGTTCTTTTACGCTATATATTTAAATAAAATGAAAAAATATAATATTTAAATCCAATTTAGTTATTTGCATGAAAAAGGAAATCAAATATATAAATTAGATCACATGATAGATTTGATAATTAATAATTTGCACTACTTATATACATGTCCTTTCAAGCCGTTCAACATTAATGAAGACTGAAGTCCTATTATCTAAGAATGATATTCGTTACATGTGTACACATAATTTGAGTAAAAAAAAACAGTGAAATTATTAATATCAATACACATGAAATCAGACTGATATATACAACTGTCATAATATTTAACATACTACAAAATAAGTAAAAACCTTAATTAACAACCATACAAGTTACATCAACTAGTTAATTTATTGCACGCATCACCTGCAGCTACGGGGCTTAAAATCCATAAAAGTCCCTACTCTACAGACTACAGTAAGAAGGTATATAATCACTAGTTTTTTTACCTCCTTTTGCTCAATTGATCTCTCTCACATAACCATGCACGCTTGAGGATTTTCATCACTAAAGGCAGTAATATAGTTGACTTCAGTAGAACTCGCCCTCGCCAGGTTCGAAGCCTGCGGGTTATCATAGACGTTGCGGACGTATCCTGCCGGAGCCTTCTTATCATACACGCCCCGCACGTAAGGATGATCCACCAGATCGTAAGGAACGTATGGCCAAAATTCAGCCTTCTTTCCCGTACGATGTCTTACTCGTCGCAATACTTTATCTGGATCAACATAACCAATAACTGTCAGCTTGTGCTTCTTTGGCTCCACTTCTACTTTCGTCACCCCTCGCATCCCTTCTACCGACTTCCTCACCCTCCTTTCGCACCCTTCGCAGTCCATTTTCACTCTTATTTCAACTGTCTACACATTTAATATCAGAAAGAAGCAAGACATATACAACATGTTTGGCATAGCTCTAATTAACAATTGTGTTCAACTAATCAATTTTAAAAATATATTTAATTTGTCAATATTAAAAAACAACAATTTATGCTTGGACAAATTGTCAAAAGTACGTACGAAGAAAAGTTGTGCAAACTTTTGGAATAAAAAAGAGTACGTAAAGCTCGACCAAATAGATTACTATTAATTAGTACTATTAGTAATACTAGTATAGGATTTAAGCATGCATGTAATTAGGGAGCATATATACCTCAAGTTGATTTCTCCTAAGTTTGCTGAGCTTCCTTCTGCTAGTGCCTCGATGGAATTCACAGAGCTCAGAAAGATGATCTAGAAAACCCATTTCCCTAGCACAAATCAGCAAGTACTGACTACGTACTCTTTTATAAGTTTTGGCAACGTAACAAATCCTACTAGTTAATTAGTTAGGCCTTAGCATATAGACAGTAACCAAGACGGTGTAAGAGAATATATATATATATAATAAGTAGGGGCAGCAGCTTATCAATAGTTGTTTTGTACGTGCAGCTTGTACAAATAAGCCACGGGTGGTGCCGTGAAGGCGGAACCATATGTGGCAATTATGGGGTCCCTACATCCATCATTTTACTTCATCTAGTGGGAATCTTAGCCTTATCCTCTTATTGCAAGTTTGCAACGGCCCCCCACCATAAAAAAGGTTTATGTGTCATTTACACGGTTAATGATGAAAATCAAATGTCATCGCAGTCTTAATAACCTCTGACTCCGTCCACTCCAACCGTTTTTTACTTAAAATCACGTAATTTTGGATTTTTGTCTAGACCATATAAATTAAATGGATGTTGCAAGGCTTCTTAGATCTCCTCGTCTAGCAAAATCGTACTATATGGACCAGTAATTTTAGTGTAGTTAGACAAAAAACAAATGAAGAGAATGAGTCCAGCTAGTATGGCATTTGCAACTGGTCAAATAGACTTGGATCATAGTATAATTTTAGCCAAATGTCAAATAGTGGCCGTTCCAGAGATGATTAATGGGGTGTCGTGTTATCACTTGATTACTATTCTAAAAGATAATTACTACGTCACATCAAACAATCTTGGCAAATTGAAGGGATTTACTTTATTTATTTTTTCCCCTTCTATATCAAAACCATAATTTGCTTGAACACGCATATTATATGAAATCTAATTTATTCAAACAGTAGGATTTACATTTGATTTATCATGTACGTACTAAGCACTCCTCTCATTTTTACTGTATCCTACAAACAGTTTCTAGCATGCATACCACTTCTAAAGCCACGAATCTTTATCTAGGTCCTTAAAGTTGAATCTACTTTAGTTTTTATTCCTGGTCTCCTTAATAGAAAAAAAAAACTAGATACAGATGGACCAGCCAAAAAAAAAGATACGGATCAAAGTAAGTGATATGTATCAATATTTATCATACTGCCACGATCCAACTCACCACACCATGCGGGCACCTACGTACTACCACCTAAGTAGGAGAACCCTCACATCACAATAATTAAAACATGCGGAAAATTAACAAAAAATAAAATCATAAAGTTTTTATAAATGAAAACCTTCTTGAACAAATCCGGGTTAAGACTTGTAAAGTAATTAACACCCCCCAAGGATCTAGTCTAAACAAGTACAAGAGCTACTAAGAGTACAAACGAGACATAATAAATAAAAGACACAGCTCCCACCGTGCGGAAGGAAAAATAGAAGCTGCTGGAGAATTCTTCATCTTCATCTAAGGAAACATCACCAACCTGCATCAGACTATGTCAAAAAAGACATAGCAAGAGTTGTATCAGTACAAACCACACGTACTGGTAGGCATCATCGGCCAACCCGACGCCCATCACATAACATAAGAAATCAACTAGCAAGATCATGCAATAAAACCCCTCACTTCTCCACCTTTACCCTCTCTCGAAATACCTCTGAATCACACTAGTACTCTAACTACTAACCACCTTCTCGGTCAACCTACTTACTAGGTTCTTGATCATAGCCTTACCATTCTAACACATGGAAAAAATCCTCAAATACGACTACAAGCATTCCAACTAACCACTCACGTCATACCCTTACTTCCTCTTCATATTACTCCATCTTCGTCACGTGGTACATTATATCAAACTTGCTAACTATTAACCACGAGCCCCCTTTTTCATTTTTAGAATTAATCTATCTGGACAAGTCAAACCATCACTCACTCTCGTTACCCCCAAACACATATTACAGGGAAATACACGAATTCCGTACACTACCTCTACTTCTTTCCCTCGCAATATAATTAAGTCATCATAATCACTTATAAACAAGGTAGAACAATCATCAAATATCACTCACGAACACACATAATTCATCATTACAACACAAGTATGTCAAGTCATTGGTCCTCTCAAGGGACCAAACCCAAACTGTTAGCATATCGGAACGTGGTACCCGATCCAATGTTTATGCCTGAACGTGGCAACCGATACAAGTTAGTGTTTCGGAATGCAACACCCGATCCATTCAACAAGCCACAATCACAATCACAATCACAAAGTACATTCTCATAATCATACAATCAAGTCATGATTCATGGCATTCATCATTCATACATCCTCATTTACAATTAATGTGATAAATAATGCAACATTCACATACATACAATATATCATAATGAAGCAAGAACAAACATACATCACACAATCATAGAGTCACAACCATCCCAATGAACTATTCATCGACGTATATCACGTAAACATTAATTCGACCATACCTAGCCCTAGTTCATCATCTAAGGCTTCTTCCTAGGATTTAATCATATTTCGTTCTATGCACAAAGGCCTACGCATAATTCCTACCATTGATTATCATTATACTACGCAGTGAGCATAGAGTTATAGCTACTCAATTAATAAACCTAGCCTACCTGGGCTCCAAGCAGCTGAACAGAGTTTTAGGCTTCAAATTTTATTTTCGGACTTCGTGACGGTGATCTTAACCGGAAATTCGCCACCCATTGACCTTCTTATGCTAGAATTTTCCTTTTCCTCCCTTCCCAAGCTTAGAGCAGCTTTTTGAGGGTTTCTAGGGTGTTTTACGACAAATTTAGGTATTTTAGGAGGGAGGAAATAGAATTTCACGTTATTTACATTATGTCTCGCCTATTCCGCTCTGGCACCAACTTACCCCTCCCTGGCGCCGCCGCCCTGGTGGGACAGTGCCCTAGTATTTCTCAAAGTTTCGCTTTTCCTCACTAACGACGATTTGGATCGTTACACATACCCATCGTCTATGGTACTCGGACTACATATAAGAAAAAATAATTGGAAACAAAAGCTACCAAACAAAATTTACAAGAAATTCCTGTGAAAAATAAAGATGATTTTTTGGAGGTACAAATAATCCTAGATATTTAGCAGAACTTTCTAGAGTTATGTAGACCGTAACTTAAGTACTTGATGTATCTTGAAATTGTGTAGATGTTCTAGAGAAGTAGATATTTATAGGAAATTATAGAAATATCTAGATTCTTGTTAGATAGTTAGAATATAAAGATATCTGGATTTTTCTTGTAGAAGTATCTAGAATAATTTCTAGAAGCATCCCTATAGAAGTATAAATAGGGATGGCATTAGACATTTGTAAGCAACCAAGAACAACTCAAATCAAATAGTCTTTTTCTATAACAAAGTTCTCATATTCAAAATATTCTTTCTCCTTTCTAGCTTCCTCTTCCTTTAGTTGAATCTTTCGATCTTAGTTAACGATCATGGACTAGCAGAAGGCTTTCTGAATTATACTTTTCTTATGCTATTCTCTACAATTCCAACTAATTATGATACAACTCGAGTAAATTATGAGAATAACAAAGAATAATTCTACACGTCCTCTTTCATTTGATTCGTCGCTCTACCTTAACTTAGCTACTAAGAAATGTAAGAAAAGACTTGCTGTGAGACGTGTTAACAAGACGACAAAATAAGAGGAAGAAGAAGAAAAGTGAAGTCAGGAAGCATAAAGGAAGCAATATATATTCACTTTATTAAAGTTTTGGTTAAATATTAAATAATTTAATAAAATATTATTGGTTAAATAGATAGAGGGGATGAAATCGAGGCTCTCATTTGATTTTTTTTTTTAATGAAATTGTTTCACCAAGATTCAAAGGTAAGCTTTAACTAAATATTTATTGTATGAGGTAGAGTGTTGACAGGGACGTATGCAGGACGAGATCACCAGATTCACGTGAATTCATGTTTTTTTTTTGAAATTATATATAGTTGTGCTATAAAGAAAATATAGATGTGTGAATCCATACTCGAAGTGATGATCTGAGGCACCTCTCAAAGTGAGGTTAGAAATCTAAATTTTATATCTATCTTTTTTTATTTTTCTTTCTAAAATTGGGTAATCAACACCCCTCTAAGTGGTTATTAGTAGCATTTTAGCGTTTTAAATTTTGGACCTATTATTATAAAATTTTAACTCTTTTCGATGATAAGAATCTAAATGTCAAACCAATCAAAAAAAGTTGTATCTTAGATCATCTTTTCATAATAGTGTACCCATTATATCGAAATCCTAGATACGCCTTTGTGTTGATTCACACGTCCAGAAGATGTAAATTGTGGAGATAAGAATATCATGATGGATGTGTGATCATATAATACCCGATATATATGTGTTATGCTTTCTTGAGCTAAGAGTCTTCTAGAAATATTTTTCTCCTCTCACAAGATATAAATAAAGTTTGTGTACACTTTATTTTTTTTCTTTTTAGTATTTAATTCATAAAATTACATTGAATATATTGTTATGATTGAAAAGTACGATAAAATTTGAAGTAAACAACAACTAAAAGTGGCTACGTGATACATTTCCCCGGATTTATGTGGAACAGTTGGCACCCAACGCGGCAATGGGCAATAGGTCCATCTTAGCATATTATATAAATGGGCCTGCACCTTCTCTTTTTCTGTACCCGGTCCAACTTGTATCCATTTCCGAAGTTATCCATATTCCATTAACGGGTACGGATCGTTCATCAACAAGCCTTTTCCGAATTCCTCTCTCCCCGACTGTTAACGGAACTTTCCTTTCCTTTTCTTGTACATTCTTCTATACCCAAATCCTTCAGAGTATCACAACTCCATAATTGCAATAATCGCCATCTCAAATACCTATCTTCTTCTCAAAACCAATTCAATCGATCAGCCAATCGCCGGCCGTTCAATTCTTTCTCTTCTCCGATCAGTTATAAATATTCCGATATGCAACACGGCGACCCTAGCTCTACCTATTACCAACATTACCAGCCTCCCTTTCAAAACCCTAACCCTAGCTCTACTCCTGCCGATCAACCTTACAATCCGGCTCCCCTCCCTAGCCAATACGCCTCTGCCCCGCCGGTTGCTTCCGGCGATTACTCCAATTACACATCCACTTATCCGCCTTATTCTCAGCCCTCTGCCGATCATGCCC